ACTGGGCATGGTGTTCACACCTGGTGTTATCTATATACACAAGTTTATTAGATTCAATATGGAAGGCTAGTTAAGGCATATTCTTTTTCTCATAATCAGTCCTTTCCCCACATGTCTCTAATTATTTTTCTGATACAATGAGTCTATAAGAATGTTACAGTTAGGCATAATGCTTTGTCAGACTTGTATTCTCTCATAGAGTTGTGAAACATAATAAATGATAGTGCTTATTCATGGAGCAAACAAATTATCACAAAATTTCTGAACACAGGATTATAATTATGTTTGCATTCAACTGTAATCTGAGCAGAGACACAAGGACACACAGAAGAACATATGGAACAGAGGAATAATGTGACTGAGTTTGTGCTCTTGGGCCTCACCCAAAGCCTCCAATGTCAGAAAGTATTATTTGTTCTGTTCTTGCTGATCTACGTGGTGACAATTGCAGGCAGTCTACTCATTGTCCTTACCGTGGTGCTCAGCCCAGCCTTGGATGTCCCAATGTTCTTCTTTCTTGGCTGCTTATCATTTATGGATGCCGTTTATTCCACTACAGTTACCCCAAATATGATTATAGACTTACTCTATGAGAAGAAAACAATTTCATTTAAAGCTTGTATGGCACAGCTTTTTGTAGGTCACTTATTTGGTGGTGCTGAGATTTTACTCCTGGTTGCCATGGCCTATGACCGCTATGTGGCCATCTGCAAGCCCCTGCATTATCTGACCATCATGAACCAGCGGGTATGTGTTCTTCTGCTGCTCCTGGCCTGGGCTGGGGGCTTTGTGCATGCTGTCCTTCAACTTTTCTTTGTTTACAACCTTCCCTTCTGTGGTCCCAATGTCATTGACCACTTCATCTGTGATATGTACCCTTTATTAAAACTTGCCTGCACATACACCTATGTGATTGCCCTCACAGTGGTGGCCAATGACGGGGCAATATGTGAGGTCATCTTTACACTTTTATTAATCTCCTATGGCATCATTCTGCACTCCTTGAAGAACTTGAACCAAGAAGGGAGGCGCAAGGCCTTATCTACCTGTGACTCTCACATCACAGTGGTCATCCTCTTCTTTGTTCCTTGCATTTTTATGTATGTGAGACCTCCCTCCACTTTGCCCATTGATAAATCCTTGACTGTATTTTACACCGTCATTACCCCTATGTTGAATCCTCTCATCTATACTCTGCGAAATACGGAGATGAAAAATGGAATGAGGAAGCTCTGGACTAGGAAACCAAAATGAGGTGACAGCAGAATGTGTTATTGCAATGTTGAATAACGAGTTGCTTCCTCCAGAAAATCATGCATGATTATTTCACTATACTAATATTTCCCTCAAAGTTGATAACATTACAGAATGGATAACATTTGCTTGTCAATTTTTCCAATGATCAGTATACAGTCTACTAGAATTTGATAGGAAAATGCATTTATATTTTACTGAATAAAATGGTTCTGTGGAGAATATA